TGTGTGTGTGTGTGTGTGTGTGTGTGTGTGTGAGTGTGTGTGTGTGTGTGTGTGTTTGGTCTGCCTGCTGGGCTGGAAGCCCTGGAAACTCAGCAGCTTCAGCTGGGCCTCTTGCTGTTGGCAGTATACTTTCTGTGCCGTGTTTTTCAGTCTGCCTCCCCAGCTAGTCTGTGAGCACCTTGTGGGCAGGGAGGACAGGCTTGTTTACCTCTGTAACCCCAGCACCCGCCCTGACACCTGACATTGAACGTGAGTTGCTTAATGGATGGGCGTAACGGAAGGAATAAGAAAAGGTGTAGCATGTGCACGAAGGCAGTTAGTGATGAGTGGGGACCAGGATCATTTGGTCTGTGGGGAGGGTTTGTGTCCCCCAGTTCTGTTCCTCACCCCTCTCTCTACAGCTCAGGACCTGTAGTCAATCCCCCTGAACCACTTGGAACCAGAGGGAGGGAATCCAGATGAAGATACCCGGGCTGGTTGACTTCACGAGTTAAGCACAGGCCAGTGAATGCCCATGAGAAGCCAGTCGGATGGGTCACGCTCTGGGGTCATTGGTTGCACCCTAAACCCTAGCCAGCCATGCCCTCCCCATCCCTTCACCTTTGTTGGTCTTCTAGGGGAAAATACCTCACTGGGTGGCCTTGCGAATTGGGTCTGAGGTGTCATCTCCTTAGAATGCCACTGCACTTCATTATTTCATCACCCCCGTCATGGCAGGTGGAGGGAGTCTGCTCTTCCAAGGGAAGGAACACCAAGCCCACCACCAACCCACCCATCTTGTCAGCCTCCTTTCCCATGTTCTTCAATATTAGGTACTCTCTGTTTGCCAAAAACTGTTTTCCCAGGTGCTGGGGACCTTAACACAAAAACATAGTCCCAGCCCTCAAAGAAAGTGACAGTGTGATGTGTGAAGGATAAATCCCATGACAGTAAACCCACAGCCTACTAGCCCTGTGCTCATGCTTAATAGGTGCTTTAAAAACCCATACAAACCAAATAGGAGGTGTGCTCAGAGAGCTAAGGAAACAGAAAGGAGTGTCCAACTCAACTTTCGAGTAAAGGCATGGGGACAGAAAGCCAACAGAGCAGGCTCCTGGGAGAAGTAACACCGAGTCTTGCAGAATGGGAATGAATTGTGGCAAAATCGAGAGAAGAGAGGAGAAATCAGAGGCCTGGGTTTCGGAGTCGGGGAGTGGAGGGAGATGAGTGCCTTCGACAGGAACCCCATCCCTCCATCCTTCCAGTCTCTTCCCAACACCTGAGCTAGGATGACTTTTTAGCTCTTCCAGTGTTTTCTGGATGGACATCCACTCTCAAATAGAGCAGGCTTTCAGGGAAAGTAGTAGATCTAGAAAGCTGTGGGCATCTTCCTGGGAAAACTATGTACTCTTCTCAGGAGAGGGAAGGGACCTTGCAAAATAATATCTTCAATTCACATAAACCCCAGGGAGACAATGTAACAATAAGCCTGCTGCAGCTGAAAATGTGAGAAGTGAAAAAATGGGTTTCTCTCACATTTACCTGCCCCAGGGAGAGTGGGACAGAGGCAACTGGCTACATTAAGAATTTCTTAGGGTAAAGACAATGCTTCTGTTTCTCATTTGGGTTTTAAAGCTTGCATTAAGTACCTATTATATGTCAGGTCTGTATTAGTGATAGATAATGCTAGGCCCAAGGACCTAAAATTCTATAAGGGAGGCAAACACATAAATGGATCATTACAATACTATATATGTGTGTGTACATGTACATATATATA